CGTTCAGTTGTTTTAAATCGAATCTTGTCATATTTTCCTGTATACAGCCAAACAAAATTGTTGCCTTGCTGAATAACCAAATTTCTAAGTTGACTACAATTTTCTATTTGTGGCAAATTTAATACATGTCGTGAGAATGGTAAAATAAGCTAAAATAAAGAAATGGTCTATGATATTTTTCTTTCTATAAAATTTGACTCACTTTTCCATCTTGATTTACTTCAAGGATTAATTTCAAGTTACTCATTGTTACAATGAAAAGATAATCTAGAATAGTGTTTCAAATTTTTTTCTTTTTTTTATCTTATTCTTCGTTTAACTGCTGATATTTTTTCCGACATAAATATACTCGCACAACTGTTTCTATACAATCACAAAAGAAATTAATAATTCCAATATTATACAACATCAGCATATCAATAAATAATATATATATATGACATGATGGCTTCTTGATGAGTTCCCATCTCTGCTCTCTATGATTATATGTACTTTCACTTAAGCAACAAACTTCTTCTCTTAAACTGCTTTGTCATAAAGAAATAAATATGAAAGAACAAGGTGATAAATGACTATGCCTATAGTGTTCACTTTTTAGCATGTTTGTTCTATCGTCTAATTATATTCATAGACAATACATGATGTTTTCTTCGTTCTCCACATTATTTTATTTAGTCGGTCGGCTTCATTTTTTCTCACTGTTTCAAATAGCTATCTATTTATTTGTTTATGTTCTGCGCCTGTTTCAAATTATTTCTCTATCTGTATTTATTTCTTTGTTACTCTCTCTCTTGCAAACGAAACTATAAAACAATATGTCACGAGCTTACTATCAGTTCGTCAATGAAAATGAGTCACTTTCAGTGCATATGTATGGCACTTTATAATAATGAATAAAGAAAACTACTTGACCATATAAGCATGCATTAAATCAGATTAAAAAGAAAAAAATGTCAACGTGATAGTTTTGTGAGTTGATATGCAAGTTTTGACGACATTGCAATTGATGTTGTACTGTCGATTTTTGTTGAAATATAGTTTGCTGATGCCACTTGAGCCATAAATAATTGTTGATGATGGATATCGGCCTTCAATGCATTAATAATGTCAGCAACATCTGACCAAGACAATCGTAATCCAGCTGAGAAAGCGGCCTCGATTTGAGCAGATGTAGTCGCTTTCATATAGAAAGTTGTTGAGTGCACTTTAAAAAAAAAATTCAATGCTTCATGACAATCAATTCCACGGTCTATTATAAATAATATTCATTTACTATTTTGTTCAACTGAAATCGTAAAATCTTACTATGAAGTTGACAAAGATGATCAGCAGCTTGTTGTGACATTTCGATTGTCTTCAAGCATGATTTCATATTGTCAATAAGTTGTTTCTTGTCCTTTTCCTATCGAATTAAATAATCATTGTTGGAATTTACATCGACATTAGAACTTACGAAGTTAGGTGCTTGGAGAGTAGGTATCGGTCGATCATTTTCATGAATTGTTATACATGGACCAAGAATTCGTCTTGCTCGTTCTTCCAGTGTTTCACCAGCTCGTCGTACTGGATTTGGTCCAGGTGTAACAAATGTAGTATGACAATTAGAAAGAAAACTAAGAGTGGTAGGTGGTGATAAAAATGTTGAAGATGATGGTGATGATAGAAGTCTTTCTTGGTTTCTGCATACGTTGATCCGATGCTCTCGTTGAGTATCAGAAGAAACAAGCTGAATAGGTTTTAATGTAATACTAGGAGTTCGTTTGGCGATTTGATCAGCAATTTTCATATCAACATCTGACGCAAAACTAACAAAGTAAACATTTCTTTTCAATGATCGTCGCTTGTCAAAGGATACGATGCGCAATTTCGATTTTATCTGTTCTGTTAATCTATTTGCATATAGAACACGTTGGTATTTCATGATCTAATAGAAAAAAAAATTATTTCATTTGATATATTGCTGCCATTCATAATATATGTCATTCACTATCTGAGGCCAAAAAAAGATCACGAATTGGGTTTACTTTAAACAATCTGATTTCGTGAGAATTCACAGATTTATTAACTTACAACTGTAAACTTAATTCGATTTTTTTTCTCGTAAATCACAC